CACTTTCTACGTAACGATTTGTTGGTTGGAAATGAAAAGAATGACAAGTCTGGTCGTTTTTCAGAGTTGTTTTTACACAAACGTACAGAACAAACACTTCCAACCATTTTTGTAAATTTTTGTTTACTTTTTTTTCCCCGCGCCAAGTGCACGCGCGCGGCAAGAAGCCAAGCCTCGTTCTGAGGCTATAAATTCGGTCCCAGTCGGGCGCTACCAAGTATCACGAAAATCGGCTATTGATCATAATTTATCTTCAATTGCAAAAAAGACTTTCGACATTGAAGAATCCATAGAGGCAATGATGGCCAAAAGTTATCAATACAACCTGAAAATTCTTTGTATACCCCAGGGAAGGGACGCCGAAACGATAGAGGAGACCGCAAAAATTTGCCTCAAGATCTTTAGAGAAAWGGGAGCTAATATCGAAGACCGTGATGTTGACATTGCCCATCGTCTCCAGAATCGAAATAAAGCAGCTCCAGCCGCTATAGTGTGCAAGTTTACAAGACGGTTAGCAAACGAATCTGTGATGAAGCTTAAGAAAGAGATCTCTAATGTAGATTTATCAAAAGTAGTACACAACATAGAAGTTTCAAGCGATTCTCCAGTAGTCATTCGTGATCATCTTACGCCAAGGAAGCAAGAGCTGCTTAGGAAAGCCAAATCTGTTCAAAAGGACATAGGCTTTGCGTTCTGCTGGGTCCAGAACAATCAAATCCTAATGAAGGAAAATGAAAAAAGTAGAATTCTAAAGATCATCAGTGAGAGTGACTTAGCCCGTCTCATCCCAAATGCAGCCTCGAATCTTGGTACAAACGAAAGGTTATCCCCGCAAACTGAAGCATCTTTGCCCACTCATAATCTTGGAGGGAGAAGCCGAGGATTGTCCACTCCTGGATTGGGCCGTGGATGCACTACAAGAAGCCATGTGACCAGTCTTAGGAGCTAAGTAAATCTTATAATTAGACCAAATGGTTAGAACAACTAAAAGCGTAGCCAAGGAAAACAAATGTTTTTTTCAAGAGCTACCTCATTATAACGTAAATGACTTAATAGGTTTCCACGGTCAGTTCAATAATTTGTTGCTTGCCAACAACGGCCGTCTACCAACTAAAAGATATCTAGAAAAGCTACGTAGTCTTTATGACCTGGATATATTTTCTTTGAATGTCAGGCAAACTAATGACATAAATCCAGATATCCAATGTAACAACTTAATCACGGCAAACTATTACTCGAAGCATAGCTTTAATGATAAAGTTAAGGGAAATTACCAGAACCCTTCGCTCTCAATTTTTCATAGCAATATTCGTAGTCTACAATTACACGTAAATGACCTTCAATCGCATTTGCTGGATGAACTAGGTCATAATTTCAATATCATAGGTGTAAGTGAAACTAAAA